GCGGTGTGTGATGATTTGCTAAGAGATGCTATGATGCATGTGAAGTCCCTGCCTTCCGCAAACAGGGTATAAAACTGCTGCAAACCCTGGGCTCGGGGCCTCTCAGCGTCACCAGTTGCTGTGTGCACACGGAGGATCGAGCTAACTTGCAATAAACACCTCTTTGCTGCTTACATCGATCTTGGTCTCTGGTGGTCTTTTGGGGGTCCCAAATTCGAGCATAACACCCCCCTTTGTGTAACCTTCTGGGCTATAAAGTTGGGCTACAAGAAGGCTGCGGGGTTGTCTTGTTCCCACGGTTTTTGGGTGGGAGAGGCAGCCCGGCCGGTCGAAATAATAAGCTTGCTTTAATTTGATTTTAATGGGAGTCAGTGGTCTTTGCGTCCTGGTCTAACACTGCCTCGGCTGAGAAAACTTTGACCCGAGTCTTGAAGAGTGGCGGCTGCCCTAGCTTCGTTTAAGTAGCCATCGGGTGCCCACGCCATCTTCCAGAAAGAGAGAAAGATGCACCTCAGACAGATGTGGGGTGCATGGGGAGGAGCTTACCTCGGTAGGATCTCAGTGGAATCTCCAATCTGTTACCGCTGTTTACTGTGCCGAGTCCTTGCTTCCCCGAATGCTGAAGTACAACACGAGAGAAGCACGCCCAGGCGAACGTGGAGTGGAGAGTGGAAGGATAGCAGAAAAGACTTCCCCCAGGAGGAAGAAGGGGACCCGAAAGGCGAAATCCGTGCAAAGGGGAGGTCTTCTCCCTTTTATATCTAAGGTCTTCCGTTGTCTTCCCACATTCCGATCCTTTGTGTCCCTGTATCCTGCTTGTGATGGGGAATGTGGGTAGAAAGGCCCAAAGGTGACAAAGAGGTGGCCTGATGGGGTGGGGAGAAGAGATCTGCACAGCAAGGGCCCAGGGTGGTTTGATTAGCATCTCTGCTTCATTAACAGTTCTTTAGGACAGACCTGGGCCGTGAGGACTTTAACATTTCAGTTTCCCAGTGGTAGTTCTGGTTTTCCCAGGCCGGGATCAGACCCTATTTTCTTTATTAGACCCAATTTACCTTAACTACCTATCGTTAAATCTGGCTTCACCCTCCCCTCCATCCCCTCTGTTCCAACTGATAACCCCAGTTACCAGCGACAAGTCCTGCTTCTTCACATGTTGGAGTGTAGCACTGGAGAAACACACCATGACAAGCATATAAAGCAGGGTTTGTTTAAAAAGAGGTAACATAGACTTCTCCCAGGAGGGAGAAGGGGGCCATAGCTGGTATCCTAGTATCCCAAGCAACAAGGGGGTTTGCCTTTTTATATGTCCTAGGCTTCCTTTGATTCCTTATCTCTCTCCTTCCAGTGTAGGTGACTAAGCCCAGGAGATGCCCAGGTGGGTTGGCCAAAAGGAGAGAGAGAAGCAGATGGGGTGCAGGGACCCAGTTGGAGTAATCTGGGCGGGAAAGGGGCGTAATTAACACCCCCCTGTAGGGAGGGACTATCCCTGAGACAGGTTACCTTAGCAACAGTTTGGAGCAGGGGCAGGTTATCTTCAAAAGGGTGGAGGAAGGGCTCTGGAGGAATTAACATTTCAATTCCCCCATTCTCTGGCTCCACCTTTACCTCTCTGCCCAGCTAATTCTGGTTTCACAACCTCACTGACCTCCTTGCTCTTTCTGGACTTTGCCAGGCGCACTATTTTATTTCAGACACCTAGCACAGTGCCTGGTCCACAGTAAATTTTGTCCCTTGCACGACTCTCCTACCGAAGCCAGATTTACAGATAGGTAGTTAGTGTAGTTAGGTAAATCAGGCCTAATATTGAGTAAGATTTAAAAAATGGAGACCATTATCGAATGGAGAAACCAGAGCAGCATTTCATTAACATTAAATTGAAATGTTAATGTCCCCGGGGCCCTGAAACAGTCCTAAGGAACTGTTCAAGAAGCAGCTCCCAGCAAACAGGGAGGTGCTAATCCACAACTTGCCCCAGGCCCTTCCTGCCCAGATTACTCCTTCAGCCCACCTATCTCCCACATTTTGGCCTTCCCACCGGCATTCTATCACTGCAAGATAAAGGGAAACAAAGGACAGGAATGTGGGAAAACTAAAAGAAGAATTTAGCTATAAAAGAGGGAAGACCTCTCGCTTCCACAGATTCCGACTTTCAGGTCCCCTCTTCACTGGTAAACAATGGTAAACATCGATAACATCACCCTGAACAGATTCTTACTGTGTGCCCAGTGCTGTGCTAAGTGCCAAGTGGATCTATAATCCCATCATCTAGCAGTGCTGTGAGGGGAACACCATTATATAGATCAGGTACTAGAGATTTAGTCTAAATACCTAGTTCAAGGTCATAGAGGTGCACTTGAACCCACCTAGCAAGTCTTCAGAGCCTGTGTGCTTCACCCCTTTGCTGCAGTGCACTGAATCCTTGGTCAGGAGCCCCCAGCTCCAGGAGGCCTTCCTGACCCCAGCCCAGGTAGCCCAAGACTGCCCCACACCACTGACAATCACAGAACTTTCTTGCTATGATGACAGTCTGTGTGTCTGGCTTCCCTTTAGATTGTGAATTCTGCCTTATTCATGTTTTTTTTTTTTTCCCCCTCAGCCTGGCACACAATAGGTGCAGAGGATATTGGTGCAGGAAGGTGGAGCTGCTTGTATCTTCCAGGCCCCATGGATTGATAGTGTCTGTGCAAGAGCCCCATGACCAATCAGCCCAAGTCTGTTGCAGGGAGTAGGTCACATGGGTATTTGTCTACCTTCATCCAAACACAGAGTAGAAACTCAGCAACTTTTTGTTGACTGGAAGGATAGAATTACTTCTTTAAGGAATTGACTTGAATGCTTTGGTCCACTCAGGGAAAGGCTTTTGTTTTTTTAATGCATCAAAGGGAGGCATTTGGAAGAGAAGCATTTTGCTATGGGGCTCATTGAAGAGCTTGTTATGATAAATTGCTTTCTGATTAATTGAACAGAAATCTGTGCAAAACTACATTGAAAGAATGTGCTTTTGCCTACAGTAACTGAGGGTACAATAACATCTACAGGTTTTAGTGCAGCAATGCCCATATGGGTACAGACAGCTACATAGGATCCTGGGATAAGTCAAGGATATTCTTGGGATACTGGTATTTTATTACCTCTCAGACATAAATGTAACTTCTTATAATTTAAGAAGAAGATCGTCTACACTGAGAGATGAAATGAATAAAGATCCCAGTTAACTGGGGGTTCTAATTGAATAGATTGCAGTTGATTGATTTAAAAAATTTTTTTAATTGTTGTTAATAGATGCTTATTTTATTTGTTTAGTTATATGCAGTTGCTGAGAATTGAACCTGAGAAACTAATGTGACTCTATTTTTGAGAAACCAGCCTTTACCTTAGAGCAAAGCCTGTCCAAGGAAGGGGCGTGACCCTTGTCCTTGGAAAAACCCACAGAGCCTTCCTAGGCACATACTCTGCTGAATTGTTTGTCTGTAAATAACAGGAGAGATCTGAAGCGCCAGATGTCCCTGACTCAGTTTGGCTAGGTGAGGACCCATAGCAACCCCCTAGCAGCCACCAATCAGCACGAGACAGGGAAAATACCTGGGATGTCAGATGACCCCCCCCCAATAGTCTTGGTCGTTGATAACATGTTAGGAAACAATGTAGTTTAGCATGTACACCCTTCACGGATTAAACCAATCAGTTCAGATGAATCCCCCTCTTCTACTAACCAATCACCCCTACCCAACTTGTTCCCAATAGTGAATGTGCTAATCAATGTTAAGAGTTGTTTGATTTTCCCACGGTGTGAAATGATTTGCTGTGTGATGTTGTGACCCGTAGAGTATCCCCCAAAATCTGTAAAATCTCACTGAACAAAGGACCAGGACTCACTCCCTGGGACCACTGTGTTGGGAACAGTTGTGAGTCCAGGCTTCAGCTTGCAA